CTCGCTCTGCAGGGTTGGTTGGTGGCTGCTGGTGCTGCTGATGCTCAGAATAGAAGCCACCTCCTGGCGTTCGCTGAGGTCTGTTAGCACACTCTCACGGCTTGCCGCGTTAGTGAGGTGAGGAGCTTCTGGGGAGGGGGTATTCAAGTCTGGTTTTGGAGGGAACACATCAAACTCTTCAAGCCTCGACCACCTCTTGCTGTCCCTCTGAAAAGTCCATTTGCCACTTATTGCACAAGGTTCATCTTCATCCGAATCTTCGCTCTGCAAAGAAGAAGAACCCTGAAAGTACTGCTTGCAAACTGCCCAAACAGCAAAGGCGTTTGCATTTAAATACAATGCCCACTGAATTGCTTTAGGCACGACCTTGTTCTCACTGAATTTAGAGTGAAAACAGTCTTCAGGGAGAGGAAGATTAGGCCATAAAGCCCATCTCAGGAAAAGATAACACGGGACAGGCAATATATTTTAACAGTTTTTAAATACAAAAGATATATGCTTCATAAAAAGAAACAAACAATACAATCTGCTTTAAATTGCTCTTTTCTAAAAACCCTACTATCCATAGACTTTTAATTAATTGGTCACAGTGGATAGCCCTCAGATCAATGGAAATTCCTGGCATGCATAAAATTTTCAACTGGAGTCAGTCAGGGGTTGGGGTCCCTCTGGACTCTCTCCAAAGCTACACTCTGTTGATAGTGGCTGTGTGTTTATACTCCTCTTTGCAATTACGAGATGTTTCTCATACGTTCTGAATTGTAGCGGCTTAATTCCTTACCCATTCGGGAAGTCTGAACGGTCTCCTCGCTGTGACTAATGAGATAGCAAAAGAAGCTCTTGCACTGCAAGAGTGTGACGCCTCCAGGCTCTTACCTGGTCCACTCTTCCTCCCACAGGCTAGCAGCTCACATTTTAAGAATGTCCTGTGAAGTTTCTACTTCACTCTCGCTTCAGGCAAACATTAACGCTCATAGATAGCGAGCAGCAAGAGCTCACTGACAGTATAGCACGTAAGTAAATTGTAAATAACATCTCCACTGCTGATGTTTGATGTCTGATGTATGAGTAATGCCTGAGGGCACAATTACACGTACATCACTTACGCCTACGATCTTTTCATCTAAATACTGAAAGGGAATGATCCCGGGACTGACATATTTGGTCTTCCAAATATCTGGAAAATTTCATGCTGGAAGAATAAAACCAATATAGATATTTTAATATGACACCATGAAACCACCAAATAACCTTTGGTGTGCAGAGTAGGAAACACTAATTGCCACCCAGCTCCATGATTTTCACCTCATTTGCATAGATTGCTTTAACTTAAAAACAAACACACAGGCATGCCCCAAACTGTAACTATTTGTGTGCCAGGAACACAAACATTTTTCCTCTGAAAAACAAGTAAATTATTCATATCTCAAGTATTTTATTTATGCATACTTTATCTCCTGATCCTCTCCTAGGTTTTTTTGTTGGTTTTTTTTTTTTTTTAATAGCACATTTCGTCAGCTCAGGAAAATAAGTGAAGCACCATATTTATTTTTTATAACCAAATACACATGAGACGCTTCTGTCCATGACTCAGATGAAAACCTAAGAGGACTGGCTTGCTTATTTAAAGTTTTCAGGAGGAAAAAAGTCACCTGAAACTGCCAATGGATAATAATGATGGTTCGGTGGTGAATGTGGTTTGACTGGAAAAAAGGAGCAGTAAAGTGATCTTAATTTGTGGAGAGGTCAATGCAAACATAAGGAAACATATGTTTCTGTCAGCACAATTTTTCCCTAGTGTTAAAAAGCTTTAAAGGCTAAGTATTGATTCTAATGAAGTCAACAACAAAAGGGAATAGGATCCAAGTCCATCTGCCAGAACATGCGTGGTGAATGAAAATCAGGAAGGACTGAAACAAAAGGTAACGTCCAGACTCCGGAAGATCTGGGGTTTGGACCTGAAGTCAGGTCTGGTCTGACCTCTAACAGCAATACTGATCATTCCAGTGTTAACAAGGTTCAGGAAGGAAGGAGGAGAAATCTTCTGGCGGTCATAAACGGCAATCCAGCTGTCTACCCCTACTTTTGCAGAGTTCCTACATATGCTGCCTCAGAGTGTTATCTTCTGGAGCTTGGATGCTGTTTCCAACATACCACAAACAGATAGGGGAAGAGGGGATTAATTCCTGGTAAACAACCTCAGAGCATTTGTACGCATTCTTGTTAAGGGTAGGGCAGCATTGTATTGCCTTAGCTCAGTCATCTTTATCTGCAGTTGTCATATCCCAGGGGACAGTATCAACCACTGATCCCTCCTAGGACACACACATAGATTTAAGACAGCTATTGAGTGGTACCTTACTAGCAAACCCCAGCAGCTCAGCCTTCTGTCGGTACTGCCTTACTGACATTACAGTAGGTGCTCTCTCTTTTCTCACCACGCTCCGCAGGGATCCTGAAGATTCAGGAAACACTTTTAATTCCCGCTGAGCTCCCTGGAAACATGCAAACTTTCTAAAAAGGTAGCTGATGTATTCTGTAAATATATTGCTTTGATTTTGAGCTATGTAATTAAAAAACAAGGAAACAACGTGCCCAGTCCTAGAAAGGACTGGCTCTTTCCTTTGCAGGCCAAGCACACTCTAACCGATCTTGTCTACATCATAATAAAACAATACGATTCTAACGTGATGGCAAAGAACGAAAACTGTGAAGATGACGCCAAAGGCGATGTTCTAACATTCAGGTCAGCTCATCGTGGCTGGTCAGGATCTCCTCCATCAAGCCTACTCTTTACAATCCTGCAGGTAATACGCCACAACATGGACAACCTCACCGGCAGGCAGAGAAGCCCAGTGCCTTTCAGGCTGGGAGCAGCATCCCGGGGAAGAGTTTCCTAGATGAATAACCTTTAGCCGTGGCCAAGGTGAGAACACAAAATGAAACATAAGCAGAGTTTTGACTGTGTGTCCTTGCCAGGTTCTACTCAGTGTTATCCTAGACTGCAGCTAAGCAACCTGCTAGACTTTTTTTTTTCAGTTTTACTAACGTACAATGCTGCAACAGAAGATGTTAGAGGAACTTACCCTTTTCCTGTGGGGACTAATTTCTAGCTTCATCACTGCACATTTGTTTAAAGTATTTAAGCGCCTGCAAAGCAAAGGAAACTGTATTAAGAGAACACTCCAGTGTTTTGACACAGGCTATTCCAGTTCAAAAGCTTTTGTGAAGGCTGTCCCCAAATTGCTTTGCATACAAATAGCCACAAGCAGAGTTTCAATTAGAGCCCTAATTATACTTAACCATTAACCCATTACATTTGGCTGTATTCTAACTTCAGAGGGAGGGACGGATGACTATTTGTCACAATTACCTGAATCAAAGTAAAGAGAGGTGAATGGAAATTTAGACTAAATTGAGAAGTGCATTATATGCAATGAATTGTAACAATTACATTTGTTTAAATAGCAGACATCCGAACCCTGAAACAATCAATCTCAACAGACTGAAAATAACGGGAAAGGCTTCTTATTTGACACTGTGTACAAGTGCTTGCGTGAAAAAAGCATGCTGCTTTAAAATTGCATTTTATAAGCTAAAACCTCCCAGAGGAAAACTTATTTTCCACTTATCAGGTGTCTATTTTATTTGTGAACAATGATTATTTTCAATACAGTCCTGGGACAAGACAACTCACCAGTTTAAAAAACAAAAAACAAGACACAGACCTGATTTTTCCTTCCCAAACTGGAAGTTTCTTTTATACATAAAAATGTATAGAAGTCTTCACATCTGAAGACTAAAATTTAAACAAAAATAAATTGCTGCAGCAACAACAGTTAACCAGCTTCCTTGTGAAACGTGATAGTAGTCTGGATGCATATCTTGAAGTCCTGTATGAATGTATATAAGCATCCCTCTATTCCCTGATGAGCTAATGATCTGGTAGGTATACCTGAAACAAACAAAAAGAAGTATCTTTCTTCTCCCCTCGCCCCCAGAAGCTCAGTGTGCAGGGCTGAGCACAAACAGCTTAAAGCAGAGCAAAACTCGGGGCTGCTAAACACCCAGCTCCATGGCAGCTTAGGCACAGCTAAGTGTGCCGGCTGCTGCGGTCTCCTGCCCTTCTCCCAGCCCTCGCCTCCCCAGAAACTGCTCCAGGGACACGGCTCAGCTAAAATCTGCACTGGTAAAGTGCAGAGTGGGTAGAGAAATGCTGGTGCTATGGCAAGGCAAAGGGCGGGGACAGGCTGGGCGCGATGCAGAAGGCGGAAAAGCTGAAGCAGCAGCTTCATGGAAGCGATGGTTTGGTCCCTTTTGTTAATACTTCCACTCACGAGGGTGTACTGTGGGTTGGATGAGGAGACTAACCGAGCTGAAAAGTAATCTTTCAATACTTTGTTGGGTTGAATTTCTCCCAGGTCAGTTCCCCAAGCTGCGTGAAGGGTGGTGTGTGCAGGGGGGAGGCGGAGGAGCAGAGCCGCCCCTTTCCTTCGGCCGCACCGCAGCCCAAATGCAGCAGGAGCAAAACTGAGCTTTAAAAAGCCTAATTTATTCTGAAGGAAGCTGTATAATTTTCACATAATTCGTTTGAGCAAAGTGTAAAGAAGAGCCTGTATCAGCAGCTTTGAAAAACTGAAAAAAAAAAAAAAAAAAAAAAAAATGCTGACTTGTCCTGTTGCTTCAGATGAGTCTTTTCAGATTCATGAAACTTGTAACTTGAATCTAGAAAATGTGTGCACAGGAAGAATTACTAGTTTCCTCTCTTTCCCCTCGCCTTTTATGCGCAGGATTGGTTGCAGATGGTATTTACACAGGGCTTGATCCTGAGGCCATCAAAGAAAATGGAAAAGCTCCTACTGGTGCTTTTGCTGCAGTCATGAAGTAAAAAAAAAGGCAGTTTGATCTATAATTAGACCCAGCCACAACACAGCAGAAAAGAAGAGAAACAGGAAGAATTGCCATGGGTCAAATAGTAGGGCAGTGGCAGGTTAGGAAAGTTATCCAGATCTCTCTATTTTCATCTTTGCTCTGACTTTAAAAGGCAGAAGGCTCAGTCCTGCCGGCTGCAGCTGGTGGGTACACGCACAAGTCCAGTGAATTTCAGAGGAATTGTATTTATGGCGTGGGTGAAGGGTGAACGTCCCGTCTATGCGCTACACAACAAAACCGGTATTTCGGTTTTTAAGAGGCCACACAGCAGCAGAAAGCTGCCTCCCTCTCTCTGCCACAAAAACATTCTCCTCTCAAACTCCTGGACCTCAAGACCAGGAAATATTAAACTGGTTTCAGTTCTATATTGTGTAATAATTTACAAATTTCACAGTGTTGCAACCTTTGACTTATGCAGAGAGAAGTTATCACCGAATCCCTGTATCAGGCTTTATCTAGCTCCAGCCTGTCTGACCGCTAATAAAGACGATCTCTGATTTCACAAAGATTACATCCCCAGACTTTTCTCCTACTCAAATTAAAACCCTGAAATAGGTGGAAAAGGGTAGAGCAAAGATCTCTGTTTCCACAGAGAGTGTTTAAGAAAAAAAATCTCCTGGCGCACACCTCACAAAAATGAGTATGAAGGCAAGATAAGGTAACCCCCAATGAGCGAGGTTAAATACAACTGCAGCGAGGCAAATAAAGGCTCCATTACACATTTGACATGATTTCATCACAAAACCAGCTTCCCTTTTAAAACCTAAATGCTCTGCAGCGATTGTCTCAGGTCTGCAACTTTCATTATATACATCACACATCCTGCTTTAACTTCTGCTCCAGTTCAGCAGTGCCCAGTTCCTTGAGCTATAGGACACTGAAATCACAGTACAACGTGCAAAACTGCCTTCCAAACACATTATTGAGTCTGCAGAGCTAAGCTTACAAGGTTTAGGCTTTGCCAGGATGAGGGTTACCTATACAACTGGCATTAACCTTCACATATGCTATGCAATACTTTTTAAGCATATTAGCACCCATTCATTTTCTACAGATCTTGTTGTCAAATCGATGCTTGTTAATGAACCACAATTTTCTCTTCTGGCTCTGGACCTTCTCCTTTCTCCATTCCCAGGTATAAATTCAATTTATCATTTCCCTACTGACAGTCAGCAGGTCTGCCTCATTCTTTAGCTCCATCTTATTCTGCCCAAACCTGCCTCAGCGACACCTTTGCAAGGACAAGATGGGAGACGGAGGGACGGGACAGGATTGCTCCAGACAGCAGTTACAGCCGCTTTCACCGTCTGGCTATCTCAGTCTCAGTTTCTACAATGCCTCCTATCCCGTCCACTTTCTGGATGACTGGATGATAAGATAATATTCTTTCCCATCACTTAGATAAATGCCTTTGTGTCAGCCCTCCCTCTATATATCTTCACATCCAGACGGTATCTTACTCCTGTGGAGCGTTGTATCTCCAAGGCGTCACTTTTCGTCGCCCGCCAGGTACTCCTGCGCAGGATCCCACCCTCCTTCACCCCGGCTCTGCAAACCCCTTCTTCCCGAGGGTGACCAATGCAACAGGACCTGCCTCCCAGTCCCAGCCCCCTGGGTCGAGACTGGTCCGTATCAGCCCTGAGCGGCAAGTACACTGGAAGCCTGAACCTGCAGCACCCAAAACATAAGGCAGTGGAGCTTCTCTCAGAAATGAGCAAATGATGCATTTTCCCTAGTCTTCTCCTCACAAATGGCCAAACTAGTTTAGCCTGAACTTCTTTTAAGAAAGGCAGCCTGAACAAGATATTCGCTATCAAAAATTGCAGTGTGAACAGCTAACTTCAGTTAATTTATAAATTAAAATATGGGCTTATAATGTGAAGTCTTTTTTAATCTAGATACCAGTCAGTTCTACGTTGGCTATAACCCCAGGTAATTCATTCTGCTCTCATTAACAGGAGAAAATTCTCACCCCATGCACCCAAGAAAAGTGGTAGCAATGCAGAATATTAGATTTACGCGTTTTAAATGACGATTTTCAATCTGAGTAACTGTATGATCTAGCTTTAAAGTTTAAAATATTTTCTTGATGGATTTAAATTCTTAATTCCTTCTTATAGGGCAAATTCCAACTCCATTATACCTGTAACTAATTGATGATACAAGGGCTTTCTTGTCTCACTGCAGTGGACAGCCTCTACACTGGCTCCTGGGGTTCTCCTGCATGTTCTAACCTGCAAAGGAGGCCAGCTCTCTACAAACCAAATGATACGAGCAGTGAATGCTGCTCGTGCGAATCCATTACAATCCATTACAATTACAATCAGGACGAGAACTCCTGATGGTAAAAGATTTAAGAAACCTCTTGCGTATATAGTGTGGCAGTTTTCTAGCTATGCGTAAGGAGATTAAATAGGATTTCCATCATGGCTTGCTATGTATTTTGTACTTAGCAACAACCTTTAGGATAAGCATGTTTCAGTACTTGGTTTCATCAGTGCATGATGCAGCCAGCTATCCTCTGGAGATAAATTCCCAGTCATTAATCTACATAAAGTCTTATGAAACCAAGGCCAGCAGCGCTTTGCACAGTCACTCATGAAGCATCCTAGCAAACTGAAGTAGAGTCATTGCTCTTACATTTTTGACCTGACATTTCATGATAAGATCACTAAATGACATTTCTTAACCATCTATTGTCTACTGTTACCAAGTGCCATATGCTATCTCTGTAATTCAAGTCTCAACCCACTTTTCACTTAAAATTTTTCAAGAAAATCCTTAATGGGGTGGCTATTGATACCTTTTCCATTTAGAAAGGAATTTGGCAAAACATTTACTAATAAACTGTTTTTAAAGTTACATTAGTTCTCCTGCTTCCATTAATAAGATTATTAAATGATAATTTACAATACTGTTCAGATGTAAACTGTCATTTAAAATGCTTCAAACTTAAAAAAACCCCTGTCATTGTGATTTCTACAGTTTTTTTAGAAATTATTTCTTCACATGCAGTAATTAGAACAAGGTAATTAGAACTGCTGGCAGAACATTGGTTGTTATACACAAAAGCAGAATCTCAGTGCTACCATCCACTGCATACAGTGTTCATTTAGCACTGTGCTGAAAATGCAAATAATTCCAACACTATTCTGATTTTCAGTCAAGAAGCAGTGATAGACCTAAGGTTATGAAGCAGCCCTAAGTCTTTTACTGAGTAAAAACCTTTACTGTTTACACACTGACCATGGCATGAGTCAAAATAAACCCAGGCTTCAGGCAAAAATGCAGCATTACCAATGACGTGCCTTCTCCACGTTTTTTAATGAGCTTTAAAAAATTAAACAAGGAGATGTGGAAAAAAACCCCTAATGGTGGAAATGTTGTGATAAGGTACTGCTTTTGTCTAACGCAAATGGTAAAGGGCCAAATTCAGACATCCAAGATGATTAACTGAATTACTTCAGTTTTATTCTGAGGTGGGATCTGAATGCTTCTGGAGAAACATTAGCTTCAGTTTTAAAGTTATCTAAAAGATAACTCTGATATATACACCACAGGCTTCAGAATGATATAGTTCAACCTTTAAAATCTTTGCCTCAAACTACAGTAAGACCTGTGGATTCTTAGGCATATCACACAGAAAACAATTTGAAGATGAAAGCGAAGAGGTTATTTTACAATTAGATGACTTATGAAAAACTTCCTAGTTTCACAAAATATCTATATACCCACATAATTTTGATTTGCTTACCTTTATTAGAAGGCTTACAATATAAGCTTCCATTCTTGGGATACGTATCTTTTTACTGTCCTCTATGTTCAGAAAAAGTGCTGACTGCTTTTATCGATCACACTAGCAGCAAATCTCAAAAAGATTTGGAAGGCATATTCTTACTTGCACCAGTGAGAAACAATCTGCTACCTTTTTTTCCCATATAAATAAATAATCCCAGGTTAAAAAGTATTCTCGCAGGCAAGCACTAAGTCAAAAATATGCTGGCTTGGCTGTATTTTGTTTTCCTGGCAAGGGAAGACCATGCTTCTGGGAACCAGCATTTATTCACATTGCTGTACTTTCTGTTCAATGACTTCACAAGTTCCAGAGCACACAAATAAGCACACCAATGCATCGCATTTTAATATCAATGGAATATGTCCTACACTTTAGTAGGGCGTATCTTGAGTGTGAATTTAACATTAATGAGATTTTTCCCCTCCCAATGACTGGACAACAAATCTGTTTTCTTAGTTTGAAAATCTTGTAAATATTTCTGAAGAACTTTAAATTCCAGTCCCTCTCTTTCTCTTCCAAGTATGGCAGTGATGGCATGAGAACACTATAAACTTAAAGCCTTTCTTAAAAGGGTTTTGTAATTCATTAGAATTACTGACATTTAGATTTGCAGACATCATGCATGTAGTATCCAAAAGCATTCATTTTGCAGACAATTTGGAAAGCTGCCATAATGGAGGACAGAGGCAAAAAACTGCACTTATTTCTAGGTAATAAAAGATAGGAAAAGTTAAGGCATTTTTTTGCCATTTAAGATTGTGGACTCACACTAGAGGAGGTAACTGATGGATGGGTAAGTGTCAGATGGGGCCATTGCAATTGCTCTTATGATAAAATCTGTAATGCTGAGGCTGTAGTTCTGTAAAAACATGCTGCCACAGACAGGCAAGTCTTGCCTTTTTTTCTCTACCCATCCCTTCTCCTGCCCCTGCAGCTGGCTGTGGGGTCCTGCCCATCCTTTGCACTGTTCTGAAGTTCATTATGCCTCTCCATGGGCTGATTTAATTTATTACCCCAGCAAAGGACTACCCAGACTCTTTTTGCGGAGTGAGTATACATAGCTATATACAGCTATGTATACATAGCTGCTCATCACGGTAAGAAAGGAGAGTAATGGAGTGCAGCGGCATGGCTTTGCTAATACTGCTCCCAAAAAATAATTCCCATGTGGGAACCGATGCTACAGTTCTATGTGCAGATGGCTGTAGCCAGCTTCCACGTGCCTTACTAATTTGGGAATTAGTAATGAAAGCAAATTAAGAATAATAATTAAAAATATACCTGTCACAAAGACTCCTCCCAACTTGGTTTTAAGTAAGATCGTCAAACATTACTTAGCCCAATATATTCTTCTAATGAACACCGCATACTGACAGTGGATAATAAAAAGGTCTCAAGCAAATGGTTATTTAATAGTACGTAATTCAGTTGAGGTTATGCTTTTCCCAGGTTATACTTTCTATTACACAGGAATAATTTCAATTTGCAGTGTGATTTTTTTTCACCTACCTGCATAAGGCCTCAATAGCATCTCTGTCCAGAAAGTCATGCTCTCGCTTGACTAGAGCGATGTCAATTGGAAAAAGGAGATCTGTAGGAATAGAGACAGATGGAATCAAAATGACTCTTATTCCCAGTGGTGAGTTATTTCAGAACAGCCAGCTGCCTCCAGTTGAGCTCACCAAGATGCCAGTGATTGGCACTTCTCAGGTAAACACACGTTACCATCTCAAATGCCTCCTTTTCACGTACAAGCTTGTGACTTGCAGGTTTGATAACTGAACGTTCATATGCATAACGGGAGAAAAAATGAGCAAAGCAGAGATGAAACAATGGGAGAGGAAAAGAGGCAAATGCAAGCTCCTTATCTGACATCAGAAGCGAAAACTGACTCAGGCTAGCTTTATTTAAAATAAATATACAATTGCCATCAAAGTACTAGTATCTCACATTAAAGAAATAAGGTCAGTAAACCCCCAATCTCTGGAAAAGAATGACAAACAGAATCTCCTTGGCTGTTAATCAAGCTATTTAAAAATGTGACACTGTTGCAACATTAATGAGATATGGACTGAAATGAAACCAAGCCAAGCTGTGTGGCGCCCATACCCCCTCCTCTCCTTAAGAGATTATTTAGGTAAACAACTGGGAGAGTGAGGGGGAGGAAACAATGTTAGCAGAGAGCTGAAAATTTACTACAGCTCTGAAGCAGCAACCACATACATATATATTATTTACTGTCCTCCACAGATTCCTGACTGTCATACAGGTCCTG